GCCTGGGCATTTGCCTGTCTTCTTTCAGGATCTTCAATAGTTAAAACGTGTTCAATCATTTTCTGCACATGACGGCCATATTCACGCATCATCATGCCATTCCTCGTAGTATTATATTCCATATATAAGTAAGCTGTAACAACAAATGTAAGTAAAATAAAGAGAGAGAAGGCTGAAAGCCGGCAAAGTGGTGTTCTTAAGGAACCTGAAAGTCGAACCCTGGATGACAGTTAAGAGCAAAAAGAAAGGGGCCCCGAACCAAGGCCCCTTTTACAAGCCACCATCCTCTTCCACCTAAGAGGTCATTTAATTAAAAGTTGATTGACGCAGGTCGCCCGGGTATTCAGATCCGTCACTCTCATCCAATACACACCTTTATCTAAATTACCAATCTGGGCATATGACAAACCACTTGCTACAATATCCTTACGCATCATTGTTTGCCCCTGCGAATTATATACCTGGATGTTCAAATGTCCTGTGTAAATGTTATCAAATTTGATACCAACTATGCCATTTGAGGGGTTAGGATAGATAGTAAATATTGGAAAATCGGAGTTTTTCAGTTCGATCTGCCTAATATTACTATACCTGCTGTAACCGCCTGAGTAAGTTTGTTTTATTCTAAAGTAATACATCCCGCCTTCACCATTTTCGGTGCGATATGGAATGCGATAAGGATCATTACTGTTGGTGTTTTTAGGGAGTGAACCAATAGTTATAAAATTAAGTCCATCTTTACTTACCTGGGCCTCATAATAATAGTCAACATATGGGTCGTCATACCCTGACCATTTCAATTCTACTTTATCGCTGGCAAGCTTGGTAAGTCCAAACTGGCGAATATTTAATGGCAGCACCAGGGGTGGGCAGGTACAATATTCAAAATGGAAATTTACCTGGGCAGAGCTTAATACAAATGCCAGTGAACTACCTCCGGTCACGATACCTACAGCATCCGCATCAATTGAATATTGGTAGGTGACGCTGTCATTAGCGCCATAAAATTGTGATATGGTAGTAGAATCGTTTACATTGAGGCAAATAGTACGGGTCAACACCGTATCGGAGCCATGAGAATAAAAATCGGGTCCTGACCCAAACACTCCATTAGTAGCTGATAAAGGGAATGGCCCGAAGCTCAATGCTGTCGGTGCACTGGTAAGGAAGGTGGAAATACCTGGTCC